GTCTGTCTGTCTGTCTGTCTGTCTGTCTGTCTGTCTGTCTGTCTGTCTGTCTGTCTGTCTGTCTGTTTGTCTGTCTGTCTGTTTGTCTGTTTGTCTGTTTGTTTGTTTGTTTGTTTGTTTGTTTGTTTGTTTGTTTGTTTGTTTGTTTGTTTGTTTGTGCGTTTGTGCGTTTGTGCGTTTGTGCGTTTGTGCGTTTGTGCGTTTGTGCGTTTGTGCGTTTGTTTGTGCGTTTGTTTGTGCGTTTGTTTGTGCGTTTGTGCGTTTGTTCCATGATTGGTTGTCTGTTCACCCTATTTATCCATACCTTATCCCCACCATCAGTCTGATAAACTTTCCAATCATGGCCGTCCGTACTGTAGTACAATCTATACGACTTGACGTGTCTGTCCAGATTTCCCAGCCTTCCCTGCGTGCTCACTTTGGTTATCTTTGTCTTAAAACCCAAGTTGACTTGGAAATATTGTTTTCTGTCGATAGTTGCTGGACACCATGCATCGAGGATGTTGAAATCTTTACGTTTGCTGCTAACTGTGATGTCTTTATCGTCGACGTCTCCTGATTGGATACCCACTGCTTCATTACATTCTATGGACCAATCAGATGCGAGCATTTTAACACGTGAGTAAAATTTGTTACATAAATGTTGTAAGGGTACTAGTATTGTATATTGTGAGTGAAGTTTTCCGGTTGAATGTCTACAAACTTCACTTAGTCTTAAATTAAGGTTGGTTTACACTATCAAAGTTTCTGTGAAAACAGTAGGAATTTTGCATTGGTAAATTCTAAGTTTTGAAGAATTTGTAAGAAATGTTTGAGGAAACTTACTGAGTGTTATAAAGGATGGTTTACACTATCAAAGTTTCTGTGATCACAGTAGGAATTTTGCAAAGGTAAATTCTAAGTTTTGAAGGATTTATAAGAAATGTTTGAGGAAACTTACTGAGTGTTATAAAGGTTGGTTTACACTATCAAAGTTTCCGTGATCACAGTAGGAATTTTGCATAGGTAAATTCTAAGTTTTGGAGGATTCATAAGAAATGTTTGGGAGTCAGTTTGGTTTGTGTTTAACACTGAGTAAGTTTCCTCAAACATTTCTTATGAATCCTTCAAAACGTAGAATTTACCTATGCAAAATTCCTACTGTGATCACAGAAACTTTGATAGTGTATAAAGTAACCTTTAGACGTAGATTCTTATACAAGAGCATGAAAATTAAATTAACTCGATCTCTCAATTTTTTGCCACAAAATACAAGACTACTATAATATGTCATATACTACTATTATATCATTAATTATAATGAAATGAATTAACATTATTTTCTCATTCTGTCGAATCTGCTACACGATTGTGCTTAGTGATAGATTTTCGGTGTTTATATATACACGTCAGGATGTCAGTTACAATCATAGGCCTAGAGTTAATGATAAAACGTGTACTTACTCAGTTTGGTTTTTATCGTTCGAGCCGAGATATATTTGCACTCTAAGCTAATTATGCAATAGAATACAAATACAAATACAAAAACAAAATATTGACGTTGAACCATCTCAGTTTCTACAAAGATAAAATACACAAATTAACAGTTAGTTTCATCAGTGACGAAAGTATAATGGCAAGGCAACTGGCACCAAATTAGTTTTTAAAGACAATGGATTTCTATATTATAGGTTTGAATAAATACAATAATTTAAAAATTGGCATAGCATGACCAGTTGCTATGGTTAGCTAATTCCCCGCTGCCACTAGATTTCATTGATGACAAAGTCTGCAAGGATTTTTTCCCTATGATGATGTGTCTTATATACGATATAGGATATACATGCATATATTGCTAGAATATATCAGCTTCTATTTTGTTGTATATGGAATATTATTTTATAATACAATATTAATTATGAAATTACAAAATGTAGTTAGATTGCCATTTTTTTTTGTGGAAACCCCGCGTACTTTAACAGTTGCAATTAAGGACGATCATGAAGCATCGAAGATCCGCGCTAGCTTATACGGATCTAAAATTTTGAGAAAAAACAACGTGTTTTCCAGGGCAGAAAGACATCGATTATATAATTTATATCTATCGCCATCAAACCTTCAAGGAACTTATAACTTATCCATAAAGATCATATAGACAAAACTACGTGTATATACTATTGATATAAACTGTAAGCTCTTCCGAGTCGTAGTGGATTAACATTTTAAGGGGGCTGTTTAGGTGATCCTGCTTTGCTGGGACGATATTTAAGGCGGGATGATTTTGATGTATTGAAATAAGTCACGGTGTACGATTCAGGAAAACTATTTTATTTTCTAGTCATAGATCTTGGTATAATTGTAAACATAAGGTTGTTCAAGCAGCAATAATAATCTCCTTGCACTGCGAGATCGTCTCGACAACATTCGGGGTCAGTTTTAATAGGCGTTTGAACTTTTGTTAAAGCCTATAGTGATTTATCCCAATACATCAAAATCCATCCCTTCGCTACAAACCGCCGGGATCATTGTAAAACAGCCCCTTAGAAAGAAAATATTACTTTCATATTAGATTGTATGAAAGTCCATTTGAATGAATTTTACTGAAATTACATACGACACGTACCTGTTTTGACAATAGACTCGTTTAAAGTTAGATTAAAACACCGTTTTAATATTCCTGAATCCTTAGATCGTTTCCAACATATATGTTTATATTATATCCTACTTTCTTCACTAGGGCGTATTCTGATAATTCATGGCTTCGTTATAGCCTTACATCACATCATATTTCTTGCCTATTTTCTCGCTTAGTCATTTAATCATAGTTATAAATAAATAACTAGCTCATTGTATTCGTATGTTGGGATATCGTAAACAAAATTTGGAATGAACAAAAAGTCGTGCGGGTTCCCGTTTGGTGTCCACCTGCTAAGGTGTAGCATTCTCGATTGCCTTCGCGTTGCATTTCAGCTCCGCGAAGAGCGTGCAAGGATCGGTTGTTTGAAATCTCATTAGCTTAACCCTAGGTTAATCTAAAATTCAAAGAAACTCCCCAACAGCTTGTCAGAGAAAGCGCCTTTCACCTCTGAGATGCTTCGATCCTCACATGGGCTTAGCTCTCAGCTTAGCTCTCAGCTGCAAGCAAGGATGATTAGCACACTCCACTTACAAAATGTTTCTTCAGAAATCTTGTCTGGATCAGTAGCAGTTTTCTTCTCAGAAGTTTTGAGACAAACAGACGTGCAGAGATACATAAACCAAAACAGCAGGCTAAACTTTAACCCAGGGTTAGCCTATCTAGCTTTGAACAAGCTGGCCATGTAAAATTGACTTTGAATTGTCAACTTGATTGATCCTACTTGCATGGACGGAATTTGACAGTTTCTCTCCTGACAAGGAGTTAATATTCATGCCTCAGTTTTTGAACAAGAAAAATTCGGGTCAAATAGCCATATTAACCCGTTGGGTTGCAGCACTCTCCCCCATTGACAAGTATAGAATCGGTTAACATCTTCAATTTTACATAATTTAGTTCTTTCTGACTTAAACTAATCCTTACCTAATCCTAACCTAAACTTAATCCTAATCTTAATCCATGTGGCGTTATATTACGGTATAGTATTGTAGTATGCGAAGTCAAGCGTGATTTTAGCATGCGCAAATACAAAAAGTTTCATGAAAAAAAATTAACTTTCTCAAGCGTATGGTGGAACCTAAAAATCTTAAGACGGCATTAATTTTAATACTAAATTCAAGTTTTAAATATTGAGATTGTAAATTTAGCTGAGGTAAGATTGCTTACGCGTTGAGAAATTAAGAATGGTATACACGGTTTTACTTTTTATTGAAAGTAAAATACTAAAATGTAATTTTTCATGGGCAATGCTGTTGGCTGTTTTTTAATATCAATTTCAATTTTGTCAGTTCAATCAATATGTTTTTGTAATTATACGAAAATCTTATCTAAACTCACGTCACGGAAAGCAATATATCAAACTTGAAACAAACGACAGATATGGAAATTGATTTTACCCAAAGACAAATGCTGTTCGTTGTTGATAATGGATTTCTCTTTGTTTTAAACATGTCTCACGGGTTAGTGTTTTAAACTCTGTCTGAAAGACGCATATGTTTTGCCTTTGGTGTTGATTAATTTTATTGTGCGTGAGGTCAGCAAATTTGACGTATAAATAGTAAAAGCCTCACAATCAGTTTATCACTTTATCGAATACGTAGGCTATTTTAGTCAAGATACAATAACGGAAGCTTGCCTTGGAGTAGTTGGAGATCTGATGGCGTCTCTTATGTTAGTTTTGTAGTCTGATAATTTTTGCGCCAGGCTGTTGGTGTGGAGGTTCTTGGTTTAATTTGTTGCAATGAGAATTAATGTTGACGGATTATAATTGCGAATTGGAAAGAAGATTACCACAGCAAATTTATCTCGATTGCGATTTTAATTATTTTGGGGACTAAGTAACTACGATTAAAGAAACATTTTATTAATATCTTATCTCAGGAATAGCTGGCAGGTCGTGGCTGTATTGCCATTTGGGCAAAGTTTGCGTTGTGTCAAAGTGATTTTTGGATGGCAAAAGAATTTATTGTTTTCTGAAAGCTTTGGAACATTTGATGCTGAAAAGTTATAATTGATTTAAACGTTGTCAGCTGGCTGCTCTGCATATCAACTCGTGTCTAAAAAATCGGAAGAGTTTGTATTTACATAATTACGCACTGCGTAACAGCGTGGGGAAAGAAACGAATATATTGCTTGGGAATTCTCGCTGGATAATTAATTAAGCGTCAAGAAATGTGGTACGTAATACTAACAAAGTGAAAGAAGCAATTGGTCTCAAAAAGCCTGTCTTCCTTCTGTGATCTGGTATAGCAAAGAAGAAACTCGAATCTTTTAATCCTCTCAATTTCAGCTGCTAGCTCTTGTCTGGAAAGCTATTATTTACTTTCCGCAACAGATTCGGCAAAAAAGAATATATAAGTCGTATAACCTGCATTATTGACTTTGCGGAAAATATCAAATAAACGCTCCAAAGAGAACTTCTAAATTCTGTGCGCGTTGAGTTGGCAGCAAAGTAAAACCTCAGATCTTTCACTTCTTCGCTGTAGAGTTTGGCAGTTCTTGGCCGACAAAGATTTTGGTTGAAAAAATTTACTTTGTGGTATACGATAGGAAAGACGTGTCCAATATATCGCTTGTGGAATAGTTTTGACTTTAAGAACGAAAAATCCAACGAAAAGTTTATCTGAAGTTTTGGTGCGATACTACACTGAGAACATTTGCAGTTTCATAAAAAAGTTAACAATTATAAGTGACAGAAATAAGGGATGTTACGTGGATTAACTAAATCTTCAACGGTTAGTGAAGTGATGTGGTAGCGATACAAGGAGACAACAGAAATTATTATTGGAATCCAAGTATATCTATTCATTTCCCTTAAAGTTGAAAGAATTGGCGAAGCCAAGGGTAAATCATTTGATATTTTTTGAGACGATATTGTCAAATCATACTGATTCATATTTTAGGATATGTTTTCAGTTCCTGTCGTCGTTATTCAGTCATTTACGTTTATAATTTCCTATTAAGCCAGTAATGTCATTTCATCATAAACACATGCAGACTTTGCCTTTACCTAAGAACTGAAACGTGAAAAAAAACTGTTCGTGTGCTCAAAGATTAAATTCGAATTTATATATCATTATTTGGATAGGTTTGTTTCCCTGGTTGTTCAACAAACACAGCCTACGGTTGCCTGGAAAACTTGACAAACATGTCACCAGTTATGGCAGCAGTATTTGTTTTATATACAAGCTCGTCTTCCTACCCACTCGCGGAAACTGTTCCTTAATTTCCATGCCCCCTGCGCATCAGTATAGATTATACCAAAACTCGCTGGTAAACGGCTTTCATAAACGAAAATAATCCGTGTTCGCCGCTCGTTGTTAAGAAAATTTGTTCTTTAGTTCCATTGTGTTTCATTGTCACAATCAACCAATCACAGAGCAAGCCTACGTCCTTCCAATTCGTGATGACCCTCACAGGGTGGGGGCGTTACACTCGCTTTCTTGACTCCCCCAGGATGGGACAGCACAGCTTCGCTTCAGCTGCGATTTCCTTCTTTTGATGCATGTGAACGAGTAGATGGGTTATGGATGTTCTGTGTATACTGTATATAACCTCATCTGCACAGAAGAAGAAATTAAAATCGCATCTGAAACCCCAACAAAAACTGCAAGTGTAAGAAACTATTTAATTTCTAGTGTTGGCACATTATTATTTATTCATACATTAAACAAACTCCTGCAGGGACTATAAATACTTGCGCGGAATTCAAATAAAAGGGCTCAAATAATAATAATACATCTATTGTCTTCATAATACGTACTATTTCTTCACCTTCAAAACAAAATTATTGAATTCTTTCAAGGTGTATTAATTAAATTCGTGATGACAACTCCACATATTAACACAACTTCAGACATGGAAACAGGTTTACAGGGAACCAAACTTTTTGGCTTCATCTGTCTTGGGTTGCTTGTCGTCCTCACGGCTTGTGGGAATATCATAATCTGTGTGGCGATACTCAAGAATAAACGGCTACGAACAAGCTCGAATCTTTTGATCGTCAACATGGCTTTTGGTGACATCTTGTATTCCCTTTCAACACTTCCCTTGTCCATGGTTTTAATGTGTTTTCGATCAAAATGGCCGCTTGGTAAAGTGGGGAACATGTTCTTCGATGCCGTGTGGTTCTCGTTTTTTGTTTTATCTTTCTTAAATATTCAAATTATAGCTCTGAACAGATTCATTGCTATTACAAAACCGTATACCTATAAACAAAAGGCTACAAAAACGCGTTCAGTCTTGATTTGTGTGTGCATATGGGTCTACGTTGCAACGATTGTTTTCGGGTTAAGCTTTTCGTTCAGAGAAACTAATGGAAAAGTTTACCAATTCCTTATCCCAGGGAAGATTTACTACAGCGTGCTTATATTCCACGCAGTCGTCACGTGCGTGAGCGTGCCTTTGTTATATACCATCATTTTCCATATTGCAAAGAGACACAAAATGGAAATTATAAAACAAAAAGACTTGCAAACGTCGCGAAGTTTTTATCGAGAGCTAAAAGCGACCTGGACAATCGGGCTTGTGATATGCCTATTCCTGTTAGTCTGGTTACCGTTCCTGGCAAACCAGTTTGTCGACTTTCGTGATATATATAACGGTATCTGGGACAAACGGAACAGTCTGATGTGTTACATAACGTATTGTAACGGACCCGTTAATATTTTTGTATATTCCATATGGAATCGCGAGATAAGGCAGGTGATCTTGAAGTTATTTGGATCGGTGACAAACGGGGCTATCTGGTCATCAACGAGTAGAAATCAACGTAGTCCAGTTATTGGACGTTGATTTATCGGTCAGTGTGAAAAACATATTTGAGAGATAAATTGGCAGACATTGCTGGTGATCAGTTGGGATATTTGTATCTGACTTGGCGCGCTATTTTGATGAAGTTATTTTAACGGTTTTTACTCTTTTGTTTGATAAAAAAATTACAAGAAAAATTATAATCGTGCCGAAAAAGGGGGTGCAACATAAAAATAATAGTTTAGCTATTATCTATTATTTCTATGGGGTGCAAGTATCGAACGATATCAGTTCAGTGGTCGATATTGATACCGCTGGACGTGGTATCGATTATCAGGTATTGCCCGTGATCAGTGCTATAAAAGTTGCTTATTTTCTGGAACTAGTCGCAGTTAATACACGCTCAGAAAAAGAACTAGTTACCAGTAAAAGTTACGCATAAAAAATGTAACTAGTTACTGGTACAACGTTACTTCCAAATTATTGCAACTTGTTCAGTTGTTTAAAGCACAGTTAATAGAATCTCATTCTATTAACTGTGTTTAAAGTTACATCTGCAGGCTTTAATAATTTCATTTGATTGACAGTGAGTTCAATTCAATTACTAGTACTGTAACAGAGGTACTGTAAAAAATATAGGATAACTGACTGAGATCATCTGCGCACGCGTACGCAAATACTTCCAGGACTACAATGGACTATTTGCATTATAGACTAAATTTTGATCTAGACAAAAATTTTATCACAGCTTGAAAGAGCATCACAAAATTAGTAATATTCCAAAGTTTCGTTGCGAAATGTTGTAAAATGCGGATAATATAGCCTTGCGAAATTTGCAATTTTCAGTCATTTTGTCATTACAAATGGGAAATTGATGCCTCAACACCCGATTGAGCTGTCAATTTCTCATGCGTAATAACTTCGCAAGGCTATATTATTCGCATTTTACAACATTTTGCAACGAAACTTTGGAATATTACTAATTTTCGAATTTTGTGATGCTCTTTCAAGCTGTGATGAAATTTTTGCCTAGACTTGTCTAGATCAAAATTTAATCTATAATGCAAATGGTCCATTAAAGTCATTACTGTAATCGAATTTGAGTACGGTTCCGAATTCGTCCTGCCCCATATGAACGTAGACTTTTACAGTAGAATGACAAAATAACTTATTTTACATGTAAATATACGTTTGTTTTTCGCCTTCTTTGAAGATATTTCCATTTGTTATACAAATATGAGAAAAACTAAGATCTTTACTTAACAGGGCCCGCGGAGCGTATTAGAGAGTGGGGGGGCTAAATCATCAATAAAACCCCCAAGGAAAATGTTCAATTTTCTATTACCTTAAACGCTATTTCCTGCATTTTTGGAGGAACTTTAGCAAAAAATCTCCAAGACCATCGTCATAAAAAGTAACAAAATTTAGACCTTTTACAAACTTAAGTAAAAATAGTAAAAATAAAGTAAAAATAAAGGCAGTTTCAACTCCATTGCGGAAACTTTGCAAAAACCATATGAATATAAATAATAATTTCGTTTCGGAGCACGTGGCTGTGTTGAAGGGAACTGCATGTAAGGTACACATAATGGGGTGCTTAGCCTTTATTCATTTTAATTAGATGCGAAAGTTAAAAATGCCTAGAAAAGGTTTAATTAATTTAGAAAGTTTCATTTAGATTTCTATTTTAATAATTTTGGCTGTCAAAAAAAGTGGGGGGGCTAAAGCCCCCCCCAGCCCCCCCAGCCCCCCCCCCCGTCTCCGCGGTCCCTGCTTAAATCTTAATTGTTTCAGTACGTGAACTTTTTAGTATTGCATTAAAAATTGATTAAGTTATCGACATAGGCATAGTGCCAAGCTGTCTAATCAGTTAGAAGATTAAATATCCTTCCTCAATTCCTAGATCTTTATATCAGACTCTTGAGACGTTTACGAACAAGATATCTTGTCTGCATTCCTTATTCGACTGAGACTATGTTTGACTTTGCAAAACACTTTATTAATATTTGGAAACAGAAAGACATTTTTAATATACTTGTGCCTTCCACTGTATAGTCAATTGTATTGTTGTTATTTTGTTATTTATATATTCATTTTTGCAGAGGACGTCAACTAAACGACGTTTAATAACCGAACAAGCTTGGGCCAATTGTAAAATCGTTTTCGATTGGCAGAGAAAATATAAATTGACATTTTAATCTTTTCCAAAGCTAAATATATGTTAAGATAATGAACTTCACCTGTTAAAATATACGAAGATAAAAAACTAAATGTAAAATATCGCAGTATAAGGAAGTGCTTCGAATAAAGAAAAGCTAAAAAACAGAGACAGTTTAATTTCTCACAGGGAACTGAGGGAAGGAGAAAGAATAACAATCAGAAGGCAACAGAAATTAGAACGTAATAACAGCAGCTTTTGGGGTTTAAATTGCAACTTTTAGTTGAATTGTGGAAAGTGATTCTAACTCGATTACAATGAATCCTCAATTTAGTTTGACTGGAGTGAAAATATTTTGGTTTGGTTGCATGGCCTTCTTAGCTATCACTACAGTTCTTGGCAATATTTTGGTATGCTTGGTAATACTAAAGGATCGAAATCTACGAACTCCATCAAATATATTGGTTGTCAACATGAGTTTGGGCGATATGCTGTTTTCTCTCTCATCTTTGCCGTTATCTATGATATTTGTAAGCTTTCGTGAGACATGGCCATTTGGGGGATACTGGAATATAATTTTTGACGCTGTTTGGTTTGGGTTTACGGTTCAATCTTTTGTCAATGTGATTATTATTGCTTGTGAAAGGTACATTGCAGTATTGCGACCATTTTGGTACAAGAATAACTTCACCAAAACCCGTGCAACTTTTTGCTGTAGTTGTGTCTGGTTGTACATTGCAGCATTAATATTTGGGCTCGTAATGTTTGCATTCAAAACTCCGAACGAGACTTACAGTTTCCTGATACCAGGCTATGTATACTACCCAGTTCTGTATTTTCATGCCGCTATTGTTTTTACGCTAGTACCTTTTTTGTATCATAAAATTTTCGTGGTAGCAAAGGGACACAAAGTTAGGATTTCTCGACAGTGTGGATGGAAACAGAGGAAATATCATTACCTACAAATGAAAGCAACTTGGACCATTGGTCTAGTTATTTTACTTTTTGTGGTCGTTTGGCTGCCGTTCCTAATCAAACAGTTGTTATCAATTCAAGATATTTTCGCAGGTGAATGGGATATCGAGAACAGCGTGGTCAGTTGTTTCACATATTGTAATGGCGCTGTTAATTTCTTTGTATATTCGTGTAGGGATACTCAGATACGTAGAGCACTAGCTAAATTAATGTTTCTGGGTAAGAAATGAATGTTAATATTCGCGAACAAAGTAGTTCTTCTCAGAAATGTAATAAAAAATAAAATAGAAGTGTTTCGTTATTAGAAAAGTAATTTCTGAACAAATTATAATCACGACCCAATGTTTCTACTGCGTCTATAGTGTTTTTTATCAGGGTTGGCCTAAGAGAATAAACAACTGCGTTTACACACGAACTGTCTTAACAAATATTCATCTATTTATACATTTATACTAAAACAATTGTTCGCTAAGCGCTATCGCCTAGCAGATGGTATAGGTAGTCATGCAACCTGCTGTTGTCTGAGAGTTTTAATTTAAGTTTTCAATACCGTATTGTACATGTAGTATTATCACTATGTTACTTATTTTCCCATGCAACTCTTAAAATATGTTAAATAGTTTACGTGAAAATCAGCTCAGGTCACCTTTACATTTACATGAAATTATTCAAACAAATGGGGGGGGGGGGGAGATGTATACCCTCCCACATCCCCAGGTATAGCTATGGCCCTGTTTACATATATCATTTGCTTTAAAGTGCCTATGACACAAAATTTCACCCCAAATGTTTATGATTGCATTGCAAAGATTACTTAAAGTGACTTAATAATTTCTTTTATAGAATTTTGGTAACTTGTTTCCTTTGCAAGATATTCAACTTTGTTTCATATGCAAATATCACCGGTGTGACATCACATCGCATAATGACATTTTGAAAACGCAATAGTTTTACCTTGATAAAATATTTTTACAAACAAATACAGAGGGTTAATTACCAGTTATATGACATTAATACATATAGAAGGCCAATTTTAAAGTTTTTTAGATACGTATATATTTGTCAAGAAAACTATACTTTTCTGAAAACTCACTATGCGATGATGTGATGTCACACCGGTGATATTTGCATATGAAACAAAGTTGAATATCTTGAAAAGGGAGCAAGTTACCAAAATTCTATAACAGAAATTATTAAGTCATTTTAAGGTGGCTCCCTACAGTTTTCTAAAATTTTAAGTATTTTAGGTAGCCTTCGTTTTGAACCAAATTTATATTGAAAACACTTAAGACAGGGCAATATAATCATTTCCAGGAAAGTTCAGAAGTCTTGTGCTGTCGATATATGAACAAATAGGAACAGTGTTAGTGTTGCCATGGCAACCATGACGTTTCATCTTTTGCACTTTTATTGTCTAATTTTACAATCAAACGGCAATATCTTTTTTTTCCTTCGGTCAATTTTTCTGAATTTTTTTTTTAAGATTTATGGTTGAAAGGGGAATGACATATTAAAATTTGAAGGGATGTTTATAAGGCCGGTTTTGAGATATTCATGAATAACGACTACAAAAAATCTGTCTTATAGAATTTCTTGAAATTTTGATGTTTGGCGAATCGTCATGCTTAGCAAACGTGCAAAGTTTAAAAAACTTTCACCGAAGGAAACGCGAGAAAAATAGTCCTAAATCCAGTTGAAGCTGTTGACGTGACAAAATATCGATTCGACATGATCACTATTTGCGTGGGGAACACGAAACGCGTACGGTTTATAGTTGGCTTTTTTAGCAATTTTCTCTTTGAGTTTTTGGCTTATATGTATCACACAGATATTTTTTACTTATTTGAAATGAAAATAAAAGATATATGTATTCAAAATACGAAACATTGAGAACACAATAACGCACTGACTTAATCCAACGTTTCTTAAATTTAGTTTTGTTATGAAAATCGGTGTGAAAACTTTTCAAAACATTCAAGTAGAGTTTGACTTTTCGTATAAAACAACTCGTAACTGTCTGCATTATAATTTTATTGGATTCAGCAGATAAAAAACTACATGTGAACTGAGTTGAATGACAGGGTTTACCGTAAGTTTCAGTGACAATTCAGGAGTGCCTTCAAGACAGTATAAAATATAATTTCAGTCCGTGACACTGTTGTTGACTTGAACATTGTGAGCATTATGAAATACAGTACTGAACGTATTAAATATATAAAAAAAACACACTGAATATAGGTAAAAACTAGCTAACAACATACGTACTGTTCGAATGTTGAAAAGTTTAGGATTATAATAAAAAACTGGCGTTTTCTTTGTAGATAAAAATACAAAAACAACTTCCCGCGGCTTGTTTACTTGTTTCAAGATTTTTACCGGGCCACGACGATTCCACGCGCGAGTTGCGAGGATGACGTCTGAGCTATATAAATATTATAAACTGGACTATAACTGTAGGGAGCCACCTTAAGTGATCTTTACAATGCAACCATAAACCTTTGGGGTGAAATTTCGTGTCATAGGCACTTTAAGAAGAAACGGCTACGAACAAGCTCGAATCTTTTGATCGTCAACATGGCTTTTGGTGACATCTTATATTCCCTTTCAACACTTCCCCTGTCCATGGTTTTAATGTGTTTTCGATCAAAATGGCCGCTTGGTAAAGTGGGGAACATGTTCTTCGATGCCGTGTGGTTCTCGTTTTTTGTTTTATCTTTCTTAAATATTCAAATTATAGCTCTGAACAGATTCATTGCTATTACAAAACCGTATATACCTATAAACAAAAGGCTACAAAAACGCGTTCAGTCTTGATTTGTGTGTGCATATGGGTCTACGTTGCAACGATTGTTTTCGGGTTAAGCTTTTCGTTCAGAGAAACTAATGGAAAAGTTTACCAATTCCTTATCCCAGGGAAGATTTACTACAGCGTGCTTATATTCCACGCAGTCGTCACGTGCGTGAGCGTGCCTTTGTTATATACAATCATTTTCCATATTGCAAAGAAACACAAAATGGAAATTATGGAACAAAAAGACTTGCAAACGTCGCGAAGTTTTTATCGGGAGCTAAAAGCGACCTGGACAATCGGGCTTGTGATATGCCTATTCCTGTTAGTCTGGTTACCGTTCCTGGCAAACCCGTTTGTCGACTTTCGTGATATATATAGAGAATAATACATGGGTGCTTGGAAATACCAGCTTTATAAAATAAATCTGGTTTTTCCAAGCACCCATGTATTTTTCTGTTTATTATATAAAGAACAGTCTTTGAAAAGCGATAATTTTTACACAAAAGGGACAATTGAAAAGCGACAATTTTCACATGTGAGATTATCATGAATAATCTCACATGTGAGATTATCACTTTTATCAGTGCTCGAAATCTCTATAAAGCACTATACTTTATATAATAAATAACGGTATCTGGGACAAACGGAACAGTGTGATGTGTTACATAACGTATTGTAACGGACCCGTTAATAGAATTAATATTTTTGTATATTCCATATGGAATCGCGAGATAAGGCAAGTGATCTTGAGGTTATTTGGATCGGTACAAACGGGGCTATCTGATCATCAACGAGTAGAAATCAACGTAGTCCAGTTCCTGCGAGTTAATTTATCGGTCAGTGTGAAAGACAGTTGAGATAAAATTCCCATTTCCACGCAGAAAAATTTTCCGCAGAAAGAAAATTTTGTAAAATGTGATTGGCCGACACACAAATTTTACGTCGGAAAAAATTTTGAAGTTGAAAATTATCTTTTTGGAATATTTTCTGTCCGTGGAAATTTTTCTTGAGTGAAATTGGACCTTAAAATACAATAGTCAATACCGTGGTAATACTGTAACATAAACTAGTTCCAGTTACAGCCGACATGCTCAATTCAGTTATTGTAAAAGAATAGGATAACTGCCTGAGTCTGATATCATCGTATTTCCGGCACTACAATTCATCCGGTTTTTTAAATACGTTCGTTTCTTCGCCTTCTTTGAAGATATTTCAATTTGACATGCAACTATGCGGAAAACTAAGGTCTATAATTAATTGTTTCAGTACTGGGAAGGTTTTAGTATTGTTTTAAAAATTAAGTTATCGCCGTACAGTGCCAAGCTGCCTAATAAGGATAGAAGATTAGATAACTTCCACAATTCCTTTGTATCTAATCAGACTCTTGAGACGTTCACGAGCAAGACATCTGGTCTGCCTTCTTGACTTCTTCGACTCTGTTCGACTTTACAAACCACTCTATTAATTGATTTGGAAACAGAAAGACATTTTTAATATACTTGTGCAAACTGTATTTTTGTTATCTGTATATTCATTTTTTCAGAGGACGTGAACTAAACACGTGTAATAACCGAATAAGCTGGGCTAATATTGAGTAAAATCGTTTTTGATTGGCAGAGAAAATATAAATTGACATTTTAATATTTTCCAAAGCTAAATATATGCTAATGAACTTCACCTGTCAAAATACACGTAGATAAAAAAACTAAATTTCGCAGTATCAGGAAGTGCTTCAAATAAAGAAAAGCTAAAGACAGTTTCTCGCAGGAAAGGAAAAAGAATAACAATTAGAAGGCAAAAGTATAGACAGAACGTCATAACAGCAGCTTTTGGGGTTTAAATTGCAACTTTTAGTTGAATTGTAGAAAGTGACAATATGTCTAACTCAACTACAATGCCTCTTCAATTTAGTTTGACTGGAGTTAAAATATTTTGGTTTGCTTGCATGGGCTTCTTAGCTATCACTACAGTTCTTGGTAATATTTTGGTTGGCTTGGTAATACTAAAGGATCGAAATCTACGAACTCCATCAAATATATTGGTCTTCAACATGGGTTTGGGCGATATGCTGTTTTCTCTCTCGTCTTTGCCGTTATCTATGATATTACTAAGCTTTCGTGAGACATGGCCATTTGGGGGATATTGGAATATAATTTTTGACGCTGTTTGGTTTGGGTTTACGCTTCAATCTTTTGTCAATGTGATTATTATTGCTTGCGAAAGGTACATTGCAGTGTTACGACCATTTTGGTACGAAAATAATATCACCAAAACCCGTGCAACTTTTTGCTGTAGTTGTGTCTGGTTGTACATTGCAGCATTAATATTTGGGCTTGTAATGTTTGCATTCAAAACTCCGAACGAGACTTACAGTTTCCTGATACCAGGCTATGTATATTATCCAGTTCTGTATTTCCATGCCGCTATTGTTTTTACGCTAGTGCCTTTTTTGTATCATAAAATGTTCGTGGTAGCAAAGGGACACAAAGTTAGGATTTCTCGACAGTGTGGATGGAAAAAGAGGAAATATTATTACCTACAAATGAAAGCAACTTGGACCATTGGTCTAGTTATTTTACTTTTTGTGGTCGTTTGGCTGCCGTTCCTAATCAAACAGTTGTTATCAATTCAAGATATTTTCGCAGGTGAATGGGATATTGAGAACAGTGTGTTCAGCACTTTCACATATTGTAATGGCGCTGCTAATTTCTTTGTATATTCGTGTAGGGATACTAAGATACGTAGAGCACTAGCTAAAATGTTACTGGGTAAGAAATGAATATTCGTGAACAAAGGAGTTCTTCTCAGAAATGTAATAAAAAGTAAAATAGAAGTGTTTCGTTATTAGAAAAGTAATTTCTGAACAAATAATAATCACGACCCAATGTTTCTACTGCGTCTATAGTGTTTTTCATCAGGGTTGATCTGAGAGAATAAACAAGCGTTTACACATGAACTGTTTTAACAAATTTTTATCTATTTATACATTTATACTAAAACAATTGTTCACTAAGTGCTATCGCCTAGCAGATGGTAGATAGTCAACCTGCTGTTGTCAGAGAGGAAATAATGTCAATTTAAGTTTTCAATACCGTACATGTAGTATTATAGTGTAGTCTTGTTTTCCCATGCAACTCTTAATATGTCAAACTGAATTTACCTGAAAATCAGCTCAGGTCACCTTTACATTTACATGAAATTATTCTCAAACAAATGGGGGGGGGGGGAGATGTATACCCTCCCACATCCCCAGGTAGCTATGGCCCTGTTTAAATATATGTTTGCTTTAAAGTTGACAACCATTTGCAGGTCTGTAACGCTTAGTGATACCTACAACTATATGCCTTCACAGCTAGACAAAATAAGTATCTCCAAAAATTTTGTACAAAACTAGAAGTTTTATAATTCTTCAGATCTATCTCGAAGACTATTTCATTTAGCTTTCTTAGAAATTCACCCAAAATCTCCACATGGTATTTATAATTCCTAGAATATTCCATTTGTTATCTCGACTGGAGATGTTTTGGTGCTTCGCCAAATAAACTCTTCAGTTTAAATGCTTCAGCAACTAAAAGTTCAACATCTTTGTACCCCCAGTTTCCTGTTGGCAAGTTCTGCAGTAAGATCAATAAACTCTAGAAAAAAACAATAAGATTCATTCGGCATAAAATAAAAAAGTTCAAAAGCAAAGAATAGTTATAAAGTGCGACTGACCACAAATATGATTTTTTGTATGTGTAATATTTGGGTCATCCGAAGACGAAATGTAATATATCTTATAATAAAAAAATCCCATCTTGATCAACTTTTTCACTGCCAAAGTTTTCGGATATGATGTCATTAGGTGAATTGCAAATTAGTTTTCCTTTGTTTTTTTGTACCAAAAATTCACCTTACATCATATCCGGAAACTTTGACAGTGAAAAAGTTGATCAAGATGAGTTTTTTTACTAAAAGATATATTACATTTCTTCTTAGAATGACCCAAATATTACACATACCAAAAATTATATTTGGGGTAGTTCTCGTTAATGTATAAAATGTCGTGGTTTCACTCATCAATATACAATATATTGTAAAAGACGCAGAAATGTAATTGTATTTGTACCTGAAAGTCTGATTCTTCCCGAATTCGTTCGGAGTATTTCATAAGGAACGCTGCACAGACATACAGATGAAATTTAGAGAAACCTTCGGCTTCAGACTAAAAATGTAAAAAATTATAAATTAACTTGTACAGGAAAGTCATTCAGGTTTATTTATCGAGGAGTGTGCGCGCTGACCACAGAATTACCATGTGATGGTGATGGTGATGGTGATGATGATGGTGATGATGGTGTTGGCGATGACGGCCCTCAATTATCGCCACTACCATCATCATTATTAAGAGGTTCGGATTTAACATCCACTACCACTACCATATTAAGGGATTATCGACCAATCAGATGCGTTTCATATATCCGATTAACCAATGAAATGCGGACTAAGCCAGTGGGAGGTAGTGGCCATGGTAGTGGAAGTCAAATCTGAACCTCTCTAGTATTATTGTCACTACCATCATCACCACTACCATCATCACCAACACTATCAACATCGCCAACATTACCATCATCACCAAGTCCAACAACCATCACCAACATCACCATCATCACCAACACTACCATCATCACAACATTACATCATCACAACATTACATCATCACAACATTACATCATCACCACTACCATCATCACCCACTACCATCATCACCAACATTACCATCATCACCAACATTACCATCATCACAACATTACCATCATCACAACATTACCATCATCACAACATTACCATCATCACAACATTACCATCATCACAACATTACCATCATCACAACATTACCATCATCACAACATTACCATCATTACAAAATTACCATCATTACATCATCACCACTGCCATCATCACCAACACTACCATCATTACCAACACTATCATCACCACGCTGATGAATGACATGATAAACCAGGGCGCTTAGCGCCCTGTGATAAACTTACTAAATAAGTATCCCACAGTCGTATCGTACATCTCAAGGGAAGTTCTCGCATTAAGAGATTGTTCATCCAACGAAATGAAAACTGCAAATATTCTACATTGTGTTTTATTAAATGGTGATGAAGTGGAGCTATAAAACGAAAAATAATATAGTGGAATAATAATAACACTTGCATCACAATCGTGTCATGCTGCCTAGACCTAGGACCGTTACCGGGGATTGGTAGCGAGTCTTATCCAATTTAAGAGCACGAATATTTTCGCGACAACTTGACACTTGTATTGGAGGACGCGCAGTGTGTTTTAATTCTGTTTCAGAACCGTCCGCAGAGATACGAAAACCATAGATTCATATTATTCTGACACTCGAGAGAACAACGAAAAATTTGTTGTCTCGAACGAGATTGCAACTCGCATATTTGGGTATCTAGACCTTTACTCGGTTGGGAGTTGGGCTAGTAATTGCAAGGAGTGCAGTTCATGATCCAGTGATCGGAATGTTCCATTTTATTCATTGTTTTGAAGACCTCACTGTTCTCCATGCCATGCAGCCACTAATTGTTCTGACTTATTCATAGACATAAGTAAGCTTAATTAAGCCGTTAGAAGAAGGGATAACATGACTGATTTAAAACGTTCACTACAGTACCATCGACTCTTTGAATCAAGTCTTTTAATGCGTGAATTTTGTGCTGAATTCCAGGCTGAGCAAATGTGTAGTTATCCTAAAAATTGAGAGGAAAGGCTACGGGTAGTAAATGGGAAATAGATTGATACTATTGAAATCGAGAAAAGTTGAACTTGCTACTAGTTAGAATTTAATTTCAATTAGTACCTTAATTAGTATTTTATTAAGATAATTGATACCTGTATTCCATCGAGTAATTTTCCTAAACACCAAAAACTATCAGCTTCGATAGTATTCAGAGCGTCTTTGGATAATTTACTAACGTCGTATGTTTCTAATTCTCCATCTAAAAGATACAATTAATGGTCATCGTCTTAATAGCTGAATTCATAGGTAGTAGAAGACGGATTTCCGTCTAAGACGGGAAACTCGTGTGACGGATTTCCGTCTGGTATAAGTATGAAACGAAAACCATCGGACGGATAAACCCGAAAAAATAAGAGACCCTCCACCCCAGTCTCTTTTAAACGTTACGAGCAGAAACCCGTCTTGATTTATTCGTCTGATATAAATTTAAGACGGATTTCCGTCTAAGACGAGAAACTCGTCTAACTTTCCCGTCGTTCAGACGGGAAAGTTAGACGGAAAAGTTGAGACGGAAAACCCGTCGTTTACCGAATTTATATCAAGACGAGTTTCTCGTCTGAGACGAGTTTCCCGTCTTAGACGGAAATCCGTCTTCTAATATGAATTCGGCTAATATCATATGTCGGTTGGTACGCTTCTCCTTATATATATCGCCAAACAAAACCTGATACTGATGGTCGAGCTGGGTATAAGGGTATTACTATAAGGAAACATGATGAACCTGACTTGATGTTCCAGCTGAAGAATAGTGGTACCGTAAACCTCCCAACATAAGACAAAACAAAATTAATAAATTAAATAAAAAATAATTCAGCTAAATTCTAAGTTTTGAAGGATTTGTAAGAAATGTTCGAGGGAATTGACAAAGTGTTTAACACCGAGTCGGTTTCCTCAAACATTTCTTACAAATTCTTCAAAACTTAGAATTTACCTTTGCAAAATTCCTACTGTGATCACAGAAACTTTGATAGTGTAAACCATCCTTTATAACACTCAATAAGTTTCCTCAAACATTTCTTACAAATCCTTCAAAACTTAGAATTTACCTTTGCCAAATTCCCACTGTGATCACAGAAACTTTCAGATAGTGTAAACCAACCTTTATAACACTCAGTAAGTTTCCTCAAACATTTCTTACAAATCCTTCAAAACTTAGAATTTACGTATGCAAAATTCCTACTGTGATCACAGAAACTTTGATAGTGTAAACCATCCTTTATAACACTCAGTAAGTTTCCTCAAGCATTTCTTACAAATCCTTCAAAACTTAGAATTTACCTATGCAAAATTCCTATACTGTGATCAGAAACTTTGACAGTGTAAGTCTTCGACCCAACTACCACATTTGAACAGCCTTAATAAGTGAAGAAAAAAAAACCCAGTCCCTGCCTAAGCCTACCTGTAAATGCGGACAGAAAGACGACAAAAAACGGCGTGACTAAATCATTGATTCCTTGGACGTAGCCACTAGCGGGATGACGTATAGCCCAGATATACAGAATTCTTTCAAATGTCTAGTTGTGGGGAAAATATCCACATTAGAAAAAATACAATGACAATGTAATTATGGTCAATCATACACAAAGCAAATTTTAATATAAAGCAGAGATAATATTTTTTGAGCAAAGCCGTTTGCCAGAGTTCTCATTGTAATCTTGTATTCAGGCTAGCATATACAGAGTCAATATTTACTTTATAAAATTAAGACGTTTTGTATATTAAGAAATAAATTACTTCTTGTACGGCGGGTTGTTGGAAAAGTGGAATGAGAGGATTTGTTCTTGGAATATCGATATGAATCTAGAAAAATGTTAGAAAGTATGGAATATTATGAGAATTCTCGATTTTAGTCAGATTTAAAAATAATGGGTCATTCTAGCTATATCCCTATAGACAACATTTTGATCAAGGCGAAAAGAACGAAATCCAACACCACAGCTAGAACGAGCATCTTAGAATAAGTAAAATTGCAAAGATTGGTTGCTAAATGTTGTAAAATGAAGAAAATATAGTAAATAACCACTTTCGGCTCAGAAATGGTTATTTTTTCCGCGCGTAATGCTAATATATACAAAATTTGTGAACTTCACAGGGCTATATTTTCCTCATTTTACAACAATTCGCAACTAAACTTTGCAATTTTACACATTTTAGGATGCTCTTTCCAGCTATGGTTATGAATGTCGTTCTTCAGTTGTCTAGATCAAAATTTCGTCTATAGCTGTATAGCTGTAATCATCCATGACTAGATTCCATACCTGTCTAAATGTGTCTTGATGTATATCTTCGTGTCTCGTATCGTAATATTGTTTTAATAAATTGTAATATTCTTGTCGTTTTCTATCTAATACACTCTGTCGTCGGTCTATGTTCACTGGAAGATAACCCTAGAGAAAATATATTTATATGATAAGGTGAAAACTCAAAAGGATAATTATAGTACATCATAGCCTAGCGAGTACATGTACATAGCCTATCGAGTACATGTAAATAAAAATACTATTTTGTCTAGACATGGGTTTCACTAGGCACCATTGTGCATCAGATTGTGGTCAACCGTTAAATTCAAGAACTTTTCAAATACTTTCAAAGCCATGCATGTATCAGGAATTTTAAGGACTAAAAGGCTGAAAAGAAGATGTTAGAAATTAGTAAAAAGTGACGTTAAGGTGGCTCGATACAGTTTTCAAAAATTCAGGTGTTCAACACTTTGAAATGTTCAAACTATGCATTTTTAGAATATATTCAGCAGATATTGGGTTTTTTATATATTTCGATATCTCTACTTTCAAATTATATTAGTTTTAGTAACAGATAGTTCGTTGCTATGACGACATACGTGTATCAAAATGGCCTTTCGTCTCGTATAGTTGGAAAAGAAGCATGGTGACCCCCAATTTTTTTTCGTGCATTATTGTACTTGGACGAAAAGCTAACAATTAGCAAAATATAAAAAAATTCTGTAATGCCATTTTTTTGGAAAATGCGAAAATGTCATATTCTTCGGTAAAATTTTTTTGGCATTACAGAATTTTTTTATTTTTTGTATAATGAAAGTTTTTAGCGGTGAAATACAGCATGCAAAATTTGAACATAGGTCACCAGACAAAATAAAGAGATATAGCGCATTGTTTTTCTAAAATGGAAAATTCTAATGACGTCAGCAATTGACATAAAACGCTATATAGAACACGCGAAATGACGTGAGATGGCGCGAGCAGCTGCTTACGTCAGGTCATTTTGGAAGTTCTGTCATTTTGTTAATCAGTTTCCGCGACCTGCGCGTAAAAATGGTCACCCGGTTTTGAGTTCGCGATTCTTGAGCAGGGTTTTCGTGATAACTATATCGAGCCACCTTAAACTGTTCAAACCAAACGGCAACTATAATGAATTTCAACCAGTTTTGGCTAATTAAATGTAAGACATGAACAGAATCTCTCTCCCTTTAAAATAAAATCATCTGGCATTAGACAGAGTAAAATAGGGTGTATTGGGGCACAATACTACTTCATTAATGGATTAAATAATATACTTGTTTCCTCTTATAAGACTATAAGTGTCAACATTTTACAAGTTTTGATGTTATACTATTGTATTTACAAAATATATAAACAATTGTACATACTGAGAGAAGCTGCCAAGTTGTCGGTCGAACTTGAGCAGGGATGCCTGACCAACTGTACTGTCGTAAAATTACTATATATGTAGTCAAGAAATAAACTTAGTATATATATTATAACAAACTTAGTGAACAATTAATATAAAAAAGGCTGGTATCTGTAATAAAAAAGATTTGACAATTCATGAATACCTCTGATCACAGAATTCATCTATAATCTCATAAACTACAAAATTAGGTACCTAAATCTGTGGTTGGGCCGGCCAAAATTTTTCCAAATCTTTCAAGTTTCAACATTTCTTGTTCTTGCAGTTCAAGTTGTATTTCAGCATGTGGTGGGAGAGGAAGGGGCTTTGGTTGCACTGTATGTTCTTTGTTCGAACTTGATGGTGCTTGTCTAGGCCTTACATCATTGGCTGAAAATATGCAAGAGTTATTGTATGGTGATGATGGTGGTGGTGGTGGTGATGATGCTGCTGGTGGTGATGGTGATGATCATGGTGGTCATGGTGGTGGTGTTGGTGATGATGGTGGTCACCATGATCAAGGTGGTGATGACAGTAATGATGATGGTTGTGTGATGAAGATGGTAAAGATGGTGTTGACGATGATAATGGTGGTGCCAACAATGATAATTCTAGGAATGATGGTACCATGACAGAATTACTGTTACCATCAACCTACCATGATTATGTTTCTTCTTCATTCTGGATAAAATACCAGTCCGTATATCACCACCACGGATAACCTTCACTGTTGGTTCTTGAATAATAACCGAACCAACTCTCTCTCCAACTTTCTCTACATCATCATCATCTTCGCACCATGCATCGTGTGTCTTGCTGGTATAATCTTCAAACGACTGTATTTTACCTCGCATTTTTTCTGGGTTACTAAAGCATATGCTTTAATTAGTAGCAATTATAAAAGACTGATGTAACGGTTGTCAACATAGCGAGCTTAAGCAAACAACGTTTTTGACAACACAAACGGCATGAGTAACGTTGAAAGACTGGGTCAAGAATGTTGGTTGGTTGATAACGTCAAATTTGCTTCCGGTCAACGTTCGTTTGTAAAAAACGTCGCTTACTATGCTTAAGCTCGCTATTATTTGTTTTTATTGACTTAAAAATTGTGCATAAAGTAGCTTGTGATATATTTCAATTGTCTATAATAGTCATGTTTAAAAATTGTGTATGAGATTTTCAATAGACATTGTTCTGATAGACATTTCCTGATTACAGAGAAATTGTCTTCTATACACTCAATCAAATTTGGTTTCAAATAGCTAATAGAAATAAAAGGGATGGCTTTTCCATGAGATAATGTACCTCATACTTTGCAGCTGTCTTGTTTGGATTTACAAACCTCGATATTGTGTTTCCTGGTGGCGAAGGAGAGCCGCTACTAGACGGACTTGTCGGGTGATCCTGACTTCCTTTACTTTGGACTGCTTTTATGCTTGAAAATGAAATTGTCAATAACAACATTATTGTGGTCCACTTTCATCATATAGAATCACTTTAAATTAATAAATTTGCCATTGATTATAACAAAATTATATTTATAATTCTTTCTTCTAATATATTGTACTAATTCAGTACTATTATACATATCCATGACTCACTTTATATATCAATGACCAATTGCCCTAATTTACCACTGATTATAACAAAATTTACATTTTGCCATTTCCCCTTTCAATATTACAATTATTCAATATTTCCTCGTTTACAGGCACTTAATTAAACGTACACATGATTCTACAATAAATTATACGAAAAGCCATCGTGTACTCGTGTAGTAACACCTTTAAGCACAGAGTTAAAAAAAATGACAACAAGAAGAAACTAAGTCAATTTAATGAACGAGAAAATAGAGAATGTGAACAAACTCTAGGGTCAGAAGTCAATTTATAGCGACCAAGGGCAAGACCCGCTTCCCAAGAAAAAAATCACAAACACCGCTAAAATATGTACCGTACACATTAAAAGGACAAGATATAATCTAACACACACGCCCTACCTTCCTGGCAATTTATTCGTATTTCGTTTCCAAAAAGACTTCTTTTCCTGTACAGGAAGGGTTCCAGATTTCTCCACTCTGTTGAATTGTGCCCCTAAAACTAAGACTCGATTCTTGGCCGCATCACTCATAGTTTAGAACCAATTATAACTTTTCAGGTAGAAAAACATCCATAGTTTTTGAATACGTAAGTTTTCAAAGATCGGATAAGAGGAAGTCCCTGAATTCATCCCGTTTTTAGAAGAAATTGTTTCATTTTTCTCTAAAATTTAATGATAATTTGTTATTGTATTGTAACAATTAGTCACCAGGACCTTTTACTTTTTAAAGGACGCGGCCGGCCCTATGGACAATGGCGGAAATTGAGGATGATTTACATGTAAATGAAGACGAACTTTCTTCGCGAGTTTTCATCAAGAGAAAACCTTATCTTGCAAAATTAAACGACGAAATATTGTCCTGGTGTAGATGTGAAACAAGCACTACGAACAAAGGTAGTATGTTTTGTATAACGATGGGGAAAACGCATTTTTGAATGAGGCTATTTTTTTAATCATTTCATTCATTTGTATTGTACAATCACGTGATTGAAGTACATGTTTATACAAGATGAGATCTTGAAGTTTCAATAGTCTTATGTGAAACTTGCTGGGCAGTTGTTGTTTTAAAATAGATTTGTTATTAATTATGACATACAAACTATAGGGCTGATAATACTACGGATGTCACCATCAAAATGCATGGTACGTCAAACATTTGATTGCATTCAATTCTAATTTTAAAGAGCCAATCGAATTTGTATAGGTAATCACATGGGGCTGAGTAAAATTAAGGTTTAATTTCAAGCGTTTTTTCAAAGTTGCACAAATTTGTATCACCTAGTACCACACCCACAAATGTCAATAACCACACCCACATAATTTTGAAATGTTTACAATTCTAGTTTTAAACCGCCAATCAACGGTTTATAGCAATTGTTACCAGGAACAGGATTGGCTGTTTAAAATTAGAATTGCAAACTTGCAAAAATATGGAGTGGCGGCCGAAGACATTTGTGAGTGTGATGGCGATATGAATTTTTGATGTAATGCCACAGTTTAATGAGATATGTCAGACTATTTTACTCGTCAATAGGGAAGCTCTGGGTCATCCATTTAATATACAACCCCCCCCCC